ACGACCCTGCTTAGGCTCTCTGCGTGGCATGTGTAATGGATGATCTGGTCATCTTGCATTCGATTACTGTTGGTATCTTCCTGTAATTAGAAGGCAGTGGCTGGTTAGAGATCGAAAGTAGAATTTGTAACCCTTATTCAAGCCTACCCTGCTAGAGAACGTTCTTCTAACATTCCGTCAGCACAATTCGGCTATAGCGGTCAGGAATAATATCTGGAAGGTAGTGCATAATTGCATGAATTTGCCGTCCTCTTAGGTTGCTAGTTAAAAATTCCGTCTGTCTAAATAATCACTGAGACGGGGACAGTTCTGATACTCTCATGGAGAATAAAAACCTTCAGAAACTGTTCGAGGACGATTTTCTTTATTCAAAACGATCAAGTCAATTCAAAACCGAAGACGCCTTTTTAAAATCCCTCAATTGGTATTCGAACTCCTAGAATTTTCGAACAATGCATAAGGAGTTTTTTCACTGTCAGCTCTTTTTACCCAATTCCATTTACTAGCAACGCCACTTTTTTGAAATGTTCTGCTGAACCAATTCTTTGCATAGCTGTTCTGTACAAATAATGATTTCAAAGGTATTTACCTACATTTCCCTTAATTAAACCTGACCTGACCTGAAGCAGTTCATGAGAAAGGTCCAAGGAAGAGATGCAAATCAAACTATATGACTGTTCGAACCGCTTGCAGTCCAATATGTGGACGATAACACTTAGACGAGGAGAGCTTTTTTAATTTCCTTAGGAGACATCTTTACGGTTCATAACCTTACTTCGAAGACACAACTGGCCAGATAGGAAAATTTAGCGTAATGCCATTTGCATTTCCAAGTAGGCAAAAAAGCTGAGTAAACTAGTTTAAAAGCGCTCGTCACCTAGGGCAGGCAAAAGGAAACCAAGATTGAATAGTGCTGTCACAAAGAGTGCGACGGCTAATAGGTGAGTAATAGGTGACCTAACTCACGCAAAGTCGTGATGGAAATTCAGTTGTTAGTTAAGCGTACATGTATTCTTTTTATTATGATCCGTCTGATGGATATGATGTGCAGAATGCCTATTATCAAAAAACTGCAGGTTCAGTCTTTATGCTAAAGAAGAACGGACAGGATTTGGGCGAA